ATTCTATGTAATGATGTTTGCATGAAATTCATCATCAATTTTTTTTTTTTGGAGGAGATCATAGTATTATCCGTTGCGTCCATTGTATACCCAGCCCAGCTAACATTCTTCCTTTCCTCTACTCTTCAAGATCTTAATTTGCATCCTAATTATTAATTAGTTAAGGTTTAACTTAACTAAATATGCGTTCATAGGAATATAGCCAAGTCAATCAAAATGCTCTGTGCAATTCAAGCTACATATTCCATCATGCACGTACTTCTTTAATTAATTGATTAATTCCTTGAGAGTAACTTTAATTAATTTTTAAACAATTTGGTGAGAGAAAGGAAGAAATAGATTTGCAACTTAGGAAGGACATATATTGAATAGCTGTCTCACTTGGACAATTTGTTTAACTTGAATTATAATTCATGGGTTTTCTAGTTATAAAATTTTAATTATGCACACATGTTTTAATTGAAATGTACATAAGAATGTTAAAGATCAACTAGCATTTGTTTTGGTGATAATTGTCTAGCTCATTTGACTGAAAAAAGTATCAAGTTCGATTAACATATATAAGCAAGAGTGTGTAATGAGTTTGATACTTAATTACATATGATTTGTTATTACATAATTTTGTTGTGAGTATGTTCTCGTCTAGAAACTATATAGCTTATTGTTTTGACAAGCATTAAGTTTAATAATTAAAAATTATTGTACATGCGTAAATTTAAACTTGCATGACACTGTTTGTAAGTACAATAATGGAATTACATAATTTAAAGAAGTCTGAAACGTGCTTCTCCAATTGATTAAAAGTCATGATGAACATACTTAATTAGTCTTTGATCGAGGTTAAATAATTCTAAAGCTCTGGTTAAGAGATCTCGAATCCCCAACTCTCCTATTATCCCATGTTGCCATTCCATGGACGCACTGACGGATCCATTAAGGGGCAAGGGGGTCAGCTGCCCCCCAACTTCGATGAATGTCTATAGATACTTTAGGTGCTGATCATTCGAACTTCGGTAAATGTTCATGGATACCTTGGGTGATGCCCTTTTGAAGATTAGAGTTGGCTTCATATTTGCCCTCCAACTGACTTTAGGTCTACCAAAACTCAATGAATGTCCATGAATACCTTGGGTGCTGCCCCTTGCATATATTAACATGTCTGTAGTATGCATTTTCAAATGACTTTAGGTCTATCAAGACTCGATGAAATGACGATATGCATGCTATTTCTGGTATAATTTTTTTTTACTGACCTTCATAATATTATTTCCTGAATCTACCATTGCATGATGGACGGGATTTGGTTGCTTGCTTTGTTTTTTCTTCCCAAGGGGAGAGCCATCCATTGCCAACCAATACCACGAACCTACCCTCACTACTATACTATAAATTATAAATATATTTATTTCTAACTTTTTTTGTGTACATTTTAGATAACGACACTAGTCAATTGGCCTCCTATATAGAAGAGCACACAATTACACGTGTCAATAACCCATTTGCCTTGTTCTTGGCTTCCTCATAATCTAATTGGAGAAATTGATATAGAGGAATCTTAATCTCTGTTTCCTTAACAAGAGATTTTTCAATGTGATCGGCACACGATATGATATATCATGTTTCACTATGCAAATGATGTGATATATATATTAAAAAATTAATAACTTAAAAAATAAAATTTTTGTTTCCTTAACAAGGCAGTAGCAGCCTTAGCCTGAGCCTGTGGGTTTTGTTTTCGTTGTCTTCTCCATTGGACTATCCCCCCACTAACCCAGTTTATTCATTCTTTCTCTTACACTGCACATCGAGTTGATTATTCATTTTTTATGTAGTATTTAATCATAATATATAGACTAACTTATACATGTGTGTGTTTAGTTTATTTTCAGTCTTGTTTTTCCCTTCTCTAAGAGTAGAAATGCTTTTAGAAAAGTTTAAATCGCTTTTAAATAATCAAAAGTACTTTTATTAATGTCATACATAAATAATTAGAGGTGTTTAAAAATCCTAACGGTGTTGTTTGATGCTCACACGAGCATTCGAAATTTTGATTAAATTTTATGTGCAAAAATACTTCTATTCAAGCAACTTATAGTGTAAAAATTCTATGATAATTCGAAGTACAGACCAAAGAATTTCCCTCACACTGAACTAGTTAAAAAACCAAATGAACACAAATTAATCATGCGCTTCCCTAAGTTAGTCAAATTTGTATTGTTTATAGCTTGAAGGTTTAAAGAGATTAAGATTTTTTAAAGAAAAACTAATAATAATGGGTTAAAAACTTTGAATTTTAACGAAAATAATAAAATAAAAGATAAAATAAATAATTCTATGATTGATTTTTTAATATTAAAATGTAATTTTTCTTTAAAATTAACATTACCTAAAACTTTTTGATAAAATTCCATTTTTTTTAAAAAGTGGAGGGGAGATTCCATTATTTTAAGGCTTGGATCACTTTGATTGTAAGTCCCAATGCCAACTAATAATGACAAGAGGGAGAGAGAGAGAGAGAAAGGGACAGTCCATCAATGGTAAGCCATAGCTACTATCCTATTACTTATATTTTTTCAATAGTTCTTGCATGATTTCTTGGTAGGACAGATTTTTTAGGGTGTTTGAAATACAAATTCATACATTACATTTGATTATATAATTAAAAGAACACTTAAAAAAATAATTTTTACAAATTGTAATAATATATGGTACATTGTCCTGTGTTCTAACACACTAAAAAATCTCTAGTACAACTTGTTCAAAAGTAAAGATTTTATTACTTTTTTGGATGATTAGATCATGAGGTGTATATCTCTTTCTGCATCCCTTTCTTTGTCTGTTCATTGATTTTTTTGTTATTAAAAAAAAAAGACAAAAAAGGATAGTTTACGAACGAAAAAAATAAGAGTTTAGAAATCACTTTCCGCTAAATGTATGTAATAGGATGCACTGTAAAACATACAGATACAGCAAAATGTGTTACTCTGCTAAGATAAGATGGTCAAGCTATCAAGATGAAGATAGCATAGAATCAGATCTTCCCAAACAATAATGCAGGGTGCATAAACCAGATGGCTTAATTAGTTTCTTAATTGATTATTAATTATTCCATTAAAAAGTGCAGTGTGAAAAATGAGTTAGATTTTAGGCCATTGACCAAACAAACCAGATTAAAGATGTTATTAAGCTCATGTCCCAAGGTGCAATGAAGAACAATGCAATGAGATAAGATAAGCCCCCCCCCCCCAAGCAAAAGTTGGCAATGTCAGTTGCTAGCTCAGCTCAACTGGAATAAATCATCTGCTTAAACTAACGCAATTATTCAACTTAATCGAATACAACAGAGTTAAAAAAAAAACCCAAGTAATTAAAATAAATATATAAATAAACAAGTGGTGGATTGTCTCAATAAGTTAAGATTTTTGTGGAAAAATTCATCGCGTTTCAAGTTTAACTCTCTCGCTTTTTTGTGTAACTTAGAATAGTATTAATATCACTTATGATAAAGAAAACTCAAGTAAAATAAAGAGTTATTGGTTAAAGTGAGTAAGTAAAAGTAAAGATTTGGGTTTTGGGGAGGAGAAGGGAGAGTGTTATTTATAAAGAAAACTCAAGTAAAATAAAGAGTTATTGGTTAAAGTGACTAAGTAAAAGTAAAGATTTGGGTTTTGGGGAGGCGAAGGGAGAGTGTTCTTTATATTTTACCGTGGCAGTGTGCGGCGGTGAATCATCAAGAGCTCTCTTTTTTATGTAGGCGTGGGTATAAAGGCAAGACCATTGCCAATTGTCAATACTCTTCTCTAAAAGCATTAAGCGTGGCAGTGCGGTTACACTAAATAATCTCTCATCTAAAACCATCATTTCTAATTCTCTATGCAAATCTAAAACTATTTAGGGGTGGATTTGGTTCCCATCGGTTTGATTTTTTGTTAAAACTAAAAATCAAATTGAAATTATTGTTTGATTCCGTTTGGTTTGATTTTGTGTTAGTTCGGTTTTTTTTCACATTTGATATTTACTTATCTTTTAACTTTGTCTTGTTCTCGTTGCATGGAATACTTTATTAAAATAAAAAAACTAGTTTTGCCTACCCGTGTAATAGTAGCAGCAACGCTGTTTACTTTGAGGGAGTAAGCAAAGTTTGCCTACTCAATTGATTACTTCATTGGTGCTTGGTTTTGCCTATGTGACTCGTCAAAACTCAAAAGAAAGTAGAATTCTCTCTCATTCAAATTTTCCTACCCTCCAACCCCTTCTATTTGAATGTCATGAATCATGATTAAACAACGTCAATACTTGGTGTTGACTTTTTTTATAAAGAGAGAAAAAAAAAGAGTGAGGGGAGATTGAAGGGGAGAAGGACAGAGAAAGAATCATACTCCCATAAAAAAGAGTTTGTTACTCATTTGCCTACTCCTCTACATCTCCAATAGTGTGCAAAGGGCATATGCAAAAATGTAGTGTGACAAGTTGCGTACTCAATTACCTTATAAAAAGTGTGTCACTTCAATGAATAGGAAAACAAAGTAGGGAAATTTTATTATTATTTTATTTTCATCTTTAACATCTACTTTTATCTTTTACTTTTGTCTTCTTCCTTCACATTAAATACTTTATTATAAATAGGGACATGGATCCTTTCCAGATCCATACAGTATAATCCTAGTGATCCACCAATTCGGGTAATTGAAATTTGATCAAACGGTTAAAGTTATTATAACTTTTAAAGTGGGCATCTGTTTGTAACTGTTGAATCAAATTTCAATAGTTCGGATTGATGGATCCCTAGAATTAGGATGCATGGATCCGGAGAGGATCCATGTCCTATATGATGTGAGACTCCATGGCAATTTCAAAATTAGGGTGTTGGCAAAATTTAACTACTAAATTAGCTACTGTATTGAACATATTTTTGCCTAAGTAACTCGTCAAAATGGCTTAAACTACAAATTTATCTGCTCCAATCGATCTCCCATAAAAGGGAACCTAGTTTCTTGTTCTCTCTCTACAAAATTAAAGCCTTTGCTTTTATAAGCAGCTCTCTCTCTCTCTCTCTCTCATGTTTTTTGGTTGTGTGACGGTGAGTGTAGCCAGAGCTGCTGAGCTTAAAAACAGGAAGGGGTTTTGAACAAAGCCAACCCAAAACCCAAATTGAATGAAAGATTGCTTCAAGTAGAAAGCTGGAATGGAGGACAGAGAGCCAAAAGTAGCACAGAATCCCAAATGGGTTTCTTTCTATTACCACTTTTGAGTTGGGTCTCTATCTCTCTCTCTGTTTCACAGCTGAAGGTTTCTTGCAACTCTTACTAGGGTTTTGAATGGGGCATTTATCATGCTGAAATCAATGTTCTTTATTTAATTGACTGCCTCCTCCCCTAGATTTTTACCTGCCCTTTCTTTGAACTGTTTTTTTAGCCTTCTGCCTTGGGACTGCTTCGTCTGATCAAATTTGGTATTGCAAATTTGAGTGGTCATTGAAAATGGTAGCTGCTACTTTGGAGTGATATTTGATACAGTTTTTTTTTAGTTACATGGGTTTTGTTTCACTGTTTTGGAATTCTCCTGCTCGTTAATTGAATTCAAGTATGGATCTTTCTCCCAAAGCCCTTTTCTTTGTGTAGTTATCTTCACATAGCACATGATTTCTTTACTTTTGGGGTTTCCTGAGGTAATTTTTCTCAGAGCTGCTTGAAGTTTCTTCAATTGCAAATTTAAAGTTCACGTCTTTTGAGATTATTCGAGTTAAATTATACTTTCCCTTACTTCCCCTGTTTTTAATTTGCTTTTTTCTCTGCTGTTTTAGTCAAATTGAAATTAGGGTTCTAGGGTTTTAATTGGGGGTGATCAAAATTGGGAGATTTTGGCTACTTTTGGTGTTCTGTTAGAGAAAATATGGATATGGTTGACCAAGATAAATTTGAATTAGAGAATAGGAATGATGATCCTATGAATTTTTCACCTGGGGTTACACCAGACTGGAGATTTGGTGGCTCCAATCTCACAAATACATCCATGGGATTGGTTCCCACTGGAAATTGTTTGGCAGTTGGTTCGTCTTCTCGGCCCTCGGCTTCAATGGCGGAATCGTTTAACCCGACACTCTGGGATCACCCAACCAGTTCACAGGACTTGGGGTTTTGTGACATGAATGTTCAGAACAGTGCAAGCACTTCAGACTCAATAGGAATTAGGAAAGGTATTCCTGCCTCTTTGAGAAGTAGCATTGATGGAGCACTTGATATGTGTTGGAATCCGCCGAATTCGATGTTGAAAGGGGGAATTTTCTTGCCAAATGGGCCTGGAGTGCTCCCACAGAGCTTGTCTCAGTTTCCAGCCGATTCTGCATTCATCGAGCGTGCTGCGAGGTTCTCGTGCTTCAATGGTGGGAATGTTAGTGACATGGTGAAGCCTTTTGGTGTTCCTGAAAGCATGAGTATGTATTCTAGGGGTGGGGGAATGATGCCATGGACGCAAGAAGGTAACGGGTCGAAAGGAGTTTCCGGTGTTCAATCTCAAAGGACTGAGCTAAATGGAGATGTTTCTTTGCCTATGGAGCAAGGGACACCTGAAGGGAGCCCACTGAAGAATGAAAAAAAAAGTCAGAGTCTTGCTAAATCTGGTGATGAAGCAAAACACGCTATTGGCGGGTCTGGTAACGAGTCCGATGAAGCTGATTACAGCAGTGGTGGCGGTGCTGGTCAAGAGGAAGCATCTATGCTGGAGGGTGCAGAACCATCTTCTAAGGGCTCTAAGAAAAGGAAAAGGAGTGGGCAGGTAAACCATCATCTTGAAAAGTGCCTTATTTTTTTCGTTATTCAGTATGCATGTTGGTTAATTTATCTTTGATGGCAGGCTAATGAGCTTGATCAAGCCAATGCACAACCACCCTGTGAATCGGCAATGGATACTACTGAATTTCAAAAGAAGGGAGAGCAACAACCAGCTTCAACTCCCAACAAGACTACCGCAAAACAGGGAAAACAAGGGTCTCAGGCATCCGATCCGCCAAAAGAAGATTATATTCATGTTAGAGCTCGAAGAGGCCAGGCAACAAATAGTCACAGTCTCGCAGAAAGAGTAAGATATCATGTCGAAATTTGTTTCATCATTAAACTAGGGTGGGAGTTGATCGGTTTTTGCAACAGGTCAGAAGGGAGAAAATCAGTGAGAGGATGAAGTTTCTTCAAGATCTTGTGCCCGGATGCAGCAAGGTTGTCTTCTCTTGCTGGAATTAATACTTAAATAACTAATTTGTGTCATATTCTCACCCGAGAGTCGCCTACCTTCCGTTTATGAAAATCAACTGGTTATTGCAGGTAACTGGGAAGGCAGTGATGCTGGACGAAATCATTAACTACGTACAATCATTACAACGGCAGGTTGAGGTATGAAAACTTCCTCGGTATATCTGGTAATTGATCTGTCCTGCATGTTGGATCGGAATTGATCTTATTAAGTTTTCGTTGCTAGATGTGGGTGCTTAACTTTCTGCAAATTTTGTTTATGGATAAGACCTATCCGTAGCTTTTTATGTTGGTAAGGTCTTGCTTCTAAGAAAAAGGTTGCAAATAATGTATGAGGAGCTAAAACGTCAGTAAAAAGGTACTCAATCACATCTCACAGTGACTTCTTCTTCGTCTTGTAGTTTTTGTCAATGAAGCTGGCAACAGTGAATCCGCGACTCGATTTTGACATTGAAGGCCTCCTTGCAAAAGACGTAAGTCATTTTACCTACATTCCATGAGAGTGCAGAAGAAATCTTCTGCATGTATGTTCGCCATCTGATTCACCCTTGTACATTAATTTCCACACAGATCCTTCAGTCACGGGTTGGACCTTCATCAACGCTGGGGTTTTCTCCCGATATGCCTATGGCTTATCCACAACTACATCCATCTCAACCAGGACTTATCCAAGCTGGCCTTCGTGGGATGGGGAGCTCCTCTGATCTACTTCGGAGAGCCATGGGTCCCCAAATGACACCTATCACTGGAGGGTTCAAGGAGCCTTCTCAGGTATCTTTCAAACGATGGCTAAAATCGTGTTAGACGAATTTCCATGTTTACCGGATAACATCCCATAAACCATGTACACCTGAATGTTATTCGTCTGCTCAGCTTTCAGTGTGTCTATATAATGTTACGACTGAAATTCATAATCCTACGTTTGGCTACAGCTACCGAATGTGTGGGAGGATGAGCTCCACAACGTTGTCCAGATGAGCTATGGGGCCGGTACTCCCCCCAGTAGCCAAGATGTGGATGGTATGCATCATTAGGTTTTACGGACAACATTTCTCCGATATCTCCCCTGTGTCTTCGGCTAATTTCTCTTCCAAAAATTGCAGGATCAACGCCACCGGGCCAGATGAAAGTTGAACTTTGATTATACGATTCATATTAATGCCACGACACTGTTCCGCCCCCATATCTGCACAATACTACCTTGAAGAAATAACAATGATCATGATATTCTCTTTTCCCATCACCTGTGATGACGAAGATGCCATCGCAATATTTGCCGGAAGCTCAGGCCGTCAAATTCGAAGCTTCCGGCGGTCTGTAGAAATATAATGCAGAAGTAGGTGACATGTTTGATATTATAAGAAGCATTATATGATGGTATATAGGCAGAAAAGGTGAATTTGTTTGTGTTCAAGGCAGTGGATCAGAGAATGTACAGAAATAGAGATGGGCGGTAACAAGAAATTTTCAATGAGAATGTTGGTAATGTTTTTGTTAATTTTAGATTAACAAGCTGTTTTATGTTATATCATTCAAGTCCACATACAACAAGAGTCAAGTATTATCCTACTAAGTGGGGTTGGCTGTATGAATCTTAAAATGTCACTAGGCTCAGAATTTCCTACTAAAGTGTAGTTTAAAATGATTTCTTCTCTCATCTTGTTACATTTTTAACATATATTTATTTTATTTCTGCGGCTTGTATATTTTTCGGTTACAATGGAGGGGAATCGAACTTTTTATCCAATGTTAGCGCATTTCTTCACATACTCTCAATATGGCGGGACGACATATTGAATTGCTATAACTTACGGTTTGAGGGACATACTAAGATGCAAGAGAAATATCAGTCGACTGACCTAATTCATGCCTCATAAACAATAATTAGATAATAAAATTTGAAAACATATTTTGGACTATGATTTGAATATTTACTTCCACAAATATTTTATATAAAAATAAGAAGAAAAAAAAAAAAAATATATATATATATATATATATATATATATATATATATATATATATATATATATATATGACCTCCTCTAGCATACTATAAGCACGAACACATGAGATCACAAACTACTGTAAATTACAGTTAGCTTCTGTTTGCCGCCAAAGGCCTTTCGGTGATGTCTTTTTCCTCAAACTACTACTGCAACTTACTCAAGCTCTGCAGCCAAGCGGGAAGCCATGCGCAAGCCAAGAAGCTCCATTGCTACATTATCAAAACCGTGACTAATCCCGAAACCTTTCTTCTCAACAATCTCGTTACTACTTACGGCAGATTGGGCAACTTAAGCTATGCCCGCCATGTGTTCGACCAAATCCCTCACCGAACCCTTTTCTCATGGAATGCCATTCTCTCCGTTTACTCGAAATCGGGTCACATTTCTGAGATGCAAGATATCTTCAATCGGATGCCGAGCCGAGATGGGGTGTCTTGGAATTCAGTTATTTCGGGGCATGCGTCATGTGGCTTCGTTGCTGAGGGTGTCAAAGTTTATAGCTTGATGTTAAGGGACGGGCCGGATAATTTGAACCGGATTACTTTCTCCACGATGCTTGTGCTTTCGTCGACTCAGGGATGTGTGAACTTGGGTCGACAGCTTCATGGGCAGATAGTGAAATTTGGGTTTGAATCGTATGTATTTGTTGGTAGTCCTTTGGTGGACATGTACTCGAAAGCGGGGTTAATTTTGGATGCAAAGCGGGTTTTTGATTCAATATCAGAGAGAAATGTGGTTATGTATAATACGCTTATCACCGGGCTTTTACGGAGTGGATTGATCGAAGAATCTGAATGTTTGTTTTGTGAAATGCCTGAAAAAGATTCAATTTCGTGGACCACAATGATTAGCGGGCTTAACCAAAATGGTGCAGGCGGAAAAGCACTTGCTAAGTTTAGAGAAATGAGATTGCAAGGCTTAAGCATGGATCAATATACATTTGGTAGTGTACTGACCGCGTGTGGAAGCCTATCTGCCTTGGAAGAGGGCAAGCAAGTTCATGCGTATATCATTAGGACTGATTTTATAGATAACATCTTTGTTGGTAGTGCTCTTGTTGACATGTATTGCAAATGTAGAATCATAAAATCTGCGGAAACAGTTTTCAAGAGAATGAGCCGCAAGAATGTAGTATCGTGGACTGCATTGCTTGTGGGTTATGGACAAAATGGGTACGGTGAAGAAGCTGTAAGAATTTTTTGTGATATGCAGAGAAGCGGGGTTGAACCAGATGATTTTACCCTGGGAAGCGTAATTAGCTCATGTGCCAACCTAGCAAGCTTAGAAGAAGGTGCCCAGTTCCATGGCCAAGCTCTAGCTTCAGGTTTGATGTCTTTTGTTACAGTTTCAAATGCACTGGTCACATTATATGGTAAATGTGGGAGCATCGAAGACTCCCATAGGCTGTTTGATGAGATGAAAATCAGGGACGAAGTCTCGTGGACGGCCTTGGTTTCAGGGTATGCCCAGTTTGGAAAAGCTTATGAGACAATTGAGTTGTTTGAAAGGATGTTAGCCCATGGTTTGAAACCCGATGGAGTTACTTTCATAGGGGTTCTTTCAGCTTGCAGTAGAGCAGGACTAGTGGAGAAAGGGCATCAGTATTTTGAATCAATGGTAAAAGAACATGGAATTTCACCAATTATGGATCACTACACTTGCATTATTGATCTTCTCAGCCGAGCTGGAAGATTAGAAGAAGCAAAAAGCTTCATAAATAAGATGCCATTCCGTCCTGATGCAATTGGTTGGGCCACCTTGTTGAGCTCGTGTAGACTTCATCATAATATGGAAATTGGTAAATGGGCAGCTGAATCTCTTCTAGAATTAGAGCCCCAGAATGCTGCAAGCTATATCTTGCTCTCAAGCATCTATGCTGCCAAAGGGGAATGGGATGAGGTGGCCAAATTGAGGAGAGGAATGAGGGATAAGGGGGCTAGAAAGGAACCAGGGTGCAGTTGGATCAAATATAAGAACAGAGTGCACATCTTTTCAGCAGATGACCAATCAAGTCCATTTTCGGATCAGATATATGCTAAGCTGGAGGAACTGAATAGAAAAATGATAGAAGAGGGGTATGCGCCAGATATGAGTTCTGTTCTTCATGATGTTGAGGAATCAGAAAAGATGAAGATGCTTAATTACCACAGTGAGAAGCTTGCAATTGCGTTTGGATTGATATTTCTTCCTCCTGCCCTTACCATACGAGTAGTTAAAAACCTTCGAGTGTGTGGGGATTGCCACAATGCCACTAAATACATTTCCAAGATCACCAAGAGAGAGATTCTTGTAAGAGATGCTGTCCGGTACCATCTATTTAAAGACGGAACTTGTTCATGCGGAGATTTCTGGTGATGAGATTGTGAGTGTCAAAAGCTGCTGGAGAGGATTGTAAACCATATCATTTCCTTGATTTGAGAAGATATTTGTTACACAAATGCAATTGAGAGCTGTTGTGCATGAAGCGACTATCCTGTTGGAACTTTCTTTTTATCTGAGCTTCTGAATCCTTGCAAGGTTATGAACTGGAAATGTTTTTATCTCAAGATTCCAACAGCTGTGCTCAAGCTCCAAAGAAGGAGGATCTCATCACTTGAAGATGTAAGTTATGATTAAACATGTTCTACTTGTTTCAGGTTGAGAGGGCAAGTCATTAAACATCACTTGGTGACTTATTGGATTATGTTTTGGAGGACTATCTCTGCGGACCCTTTGCTAACTCGATCGATGCAATGTTTACTCTGATAAATTGATTGCTGCAAGTTTAAAAGAAGGTTCTTAAGGGTTTTCTGAACTGTTTGTTAAATGAATTGCATTTCCAATAAACTCATGTCTATACACTCCATACAAATAGTACAAGCAACATCTGTAATAAACGAATGATACGAATCATAAGAAGCAATACGTTGTCTCTGCTGGAATTACAAGATATATGTTTTTATTCATTGTGAATCTCAGGCGTGAGCAGAAAATAGTCATCTAACTTTCATTCGGACTGCTGTGATCTCTTGTAGGAGTCATCTTGAGCTTCTTGTTGGTTCTGCATTACGTTAAAGATGAGCTGTTAAATATAAATTTAGGGGTGTGCTATCCACACACCCCTTTTTACTTCTCCCACACCCCTTGTTAATTTTTGTCCTTTGATCTTCTTCAATTCATCCAATCCGACGGCCGAAAATTAAAAGGGTGTGAGAGAAGTAAAAAGGGGTGTGTGGATATCATATCCCTAAATTTATCATTGATGCAGATTCGGGAAGAATTCAAAGTCCAAGAAGAATTACCTGCAACTGACCACAGATCTCAATAACTTCAGCTGGAGGTGCCCAATCACCGAAGTTCCTCTCAATAAACTGGTATGCAATGCCACTCCTTCCACCGCCAACTACAAAAAGCCCCCCCTTAATTTCACCTTCTCCTTTGAAGTTTTGCTGTATCCCCATAGCTTTTGCACGCTTGTAATTTGCTCTTGCTCGAGGGTTGAAAACAAAACCTGACAGGAATTTTTCCTTGAGCAGTTTCCCTCCACCAAGTGCTTTGAAGAATTCCATTCCCCGATCATACAATACAACACCACCCCAATATCGAGGCCAGAAGTCTTTTATCTGCATCAAAACAATACGTCATCCAAAGTTAATGGTAAGAGCTGGAAATTAAATGTAGTTATACCTCTGACTCCAAATGCTCATGAAGAACTGCAAATAGTTGAACTCCCAGTGAATCAAATATGGGTTTTTTGGCATATAGCTGGTGAGCTTCTGCCCTACACATGATGCACCTGTTTCAAGTTCAATATATACAAAAGAACTTAGTTTCAAGAAAGTGCTCATACTTTGACGTAGAATTACTGAATTAGATATAGCTTTTGGAAAACTCTATTTTTCACGGTAGAGTCGAGCCAACTTTTCACGGTCATACATTATTTTTGTCTGTTTCATGTACTTCCTTTTGGATCGTAAGGCAAGGATAACATCCTATAGCAATATACTTGCATCATGTGTCTCTTCATTTTAATTTATGAATCTCTGTCTTTAAAGTGTCTTATATTTACTTAATACACCCCTATATGAAGGTTATGATCAATGATACCTCCTACTTGTCTGAGTTCATGACAGAAAATTTAGCACTTAACATAGTGGACAATACCAGGATCTGTTAAATGAAGAAATGTTGTAACGAAGAGGAAAAGATTTACCCTGGACGTCGAATGCAGAGAATCACTGCTGGTTTGTTTCTCCACAGTTCTGAAGCCTTCATCGGAGGTGTTTTGGTTTTCACCAAATGCTCCATTCCAATCTTATACTCTGGTGTCAACTTCTGAACCGAGATGTTTTCAATGGTAGAGTATGGTGCAACTTTGTCAACTACAGGAGCAGGTTGTATACAACCACATAATCTAGGATCGGCTGGCTCCATAGCAACGATCCCTTTGAAGATGTATCCATCTTTGATCTTAAAACTTGCCAGTGATTGTTCTAGAGATTTGCTGTTAATTGAACTAGTTCTTGTTGTTAATTTACTCTGGATCTTTTGAGAGTTAACAGATTGAAAACTCCTTTGAATGCTAGTATTTTTCGACGGTAAGCCCATTCTTTCTGTTGCAGCAGGGGTAGGATGAGACTTTGGTAGGTGATCTGCACAAGCACTAGTTCTGTCCATGAAACGGGCAATATGACCACGCTTCATGCCAAACTGAGAAGAAAGATCTACAGTGCTTAAGCTAATTAGCTCGGACAGACATTTCCCACTGGTCTCGAGCCTATCTCCATATTGCATCAAAGCACGGTCGTGCAGGTATGACCTAATTTCCAATGCATCCTGGAGAAATAATAATAATAAAATAAATGCCTTAGAAGCAGATTGATATAGTGATTACAAGACATGCCTTTTAGATTCATACTCAGATGTTCATAGGTTAAGGAGATGATTACTGAAAAACCGAATTTAAAACTTAATTTTGAATAAGCGTCTAAATTACTAACCTTCTCCAGTTGTGTCATGTTTAATGCATCCATATCATCAGTATTCATGATCTTCAAGGTCGGTACATCATCCCAGCCTTCGTCTAACAGCTTCGGAATCATTCCTTTCAGAACCCCATCCCCAACAAACTCCTCTATCGAAAAAGAAGCCATTTCCGAAGAAATCAGAGAATGTTCCAACAAATCAGTTCTTACTCGATCGAGTCTGTATGTAGAAATGAAACCCTATTGGTGTTAGGCTCAGCTACTCAAGATCAAGGCATATATAGAGGCCTGAGATCATAAAAAATGTTGAGTTTTTCAAAAGCATCTCATGCCGGCAATGCAAGTGATGTAAAAGTTTAGTTCATATTATTATGTTGGAGACAAAGATGCGTGTATAAATGTTGTATTAGGTTGTAAGATGGAGGCTAATTACAAAAGCTAGAAACAATATTATTGGACATCAAAGTATTGGTCAAAGGACAACATTTGATATTTGGATAATCAGCTGGAATTATATTGTCAATTTTAAAGTGCCGGCCAAGACCTGCTCCATGTCTAAGGACTAGGGAGGATTTGCTTTGGCCAACTTGCCGAGGAAAGTGTTTATTTACTTATTTTTATATTTTGATACGTATGAAAACCGGATCAAATCCGGGAATTCAAGTGTCCTGGCGTATGCTCTTAAACAATTGAGTTAAAAACTTCTTCACGAAAGTGTTTGTTACATGTAAAACAATGGAGTCAAAATTCCTCCCTTGTGCCTTGTTTGTTGTTGTTTCGGTGAATCTTATCATGTCAGTCTTATTTGTTCGATTTTTTGATGTGACATGCTAAAACAACGATACCTCTTAAATTTATTTTATTTTTCTGGAAAATTGTTTATTCAGAAAAATACTTTGAAACTTTCATCCAAAATACAAAAAGAAAACTTGATCCCAATCCAATAATTTATTGTCCAAACAAATTTTGGTTCTTCCTTTGAAAAACAACTTTTGCTTATGGCTTATTAAACAAATCTGAGGAAAAAATAACAAAAAAATAACGAAAACGCGAGTGCACTTAACTGCTTCTGAATGAGTGTGATTTAATCTATTTGGATTTGGATTGAACCTATACATCAATACACAATCAAATATTAAAAAAGAAAAAGAGAAAAATATTAGGCAAAGCAAAACAATCAAAGTTCATTTTCAATTTACAAGATGCCGTAAGAAGCTTGTATGTTAAAAATATTCTACCTTGCACTCGAGGTCCCAAGTTCGAATCTCCCCTCTCCGAGTATCGCTTGTGTCGAAAAATAGATTCCCTACATGGCATGTGTGCATGTGAGCATGGACGTTTTACATGGTACGGTTGGAAGCACAGGGATCGGGCATCTTATTCAAATGCTTTAAAATTTTCTCAGCGATCTGCCTGGTATCTCCAGCTCCATGATGGAAAGCGCTCACCAGTACGGCAGGCAAAACCCTGTCGTTTGATATGTCCGAAGCCGACTTACTATCCCCGCCTTTATTCAAAAACTTCTCGATCACCCAAAGCGACTTCTGCCACAGCCCCTCTTTCCTGTGCTCTTTCACCACATTCAAAACATGCTGCACAGCATTAGCCTCACTCAGCATGATCACACCCTTCTCGACGTCAACTTTGTCATCCAACAATGTACATATTGCCGACAATGCAGCTTCGACAACTTCTGCATTCTCATGCCCCAAACACACTAACAGCCTCTCAACCGCCTTCGCATCAACAATGCAGAATGAGTTTTGTGAAGAACATACCCCTCTGTGAACCGGGCACAGCGGTGTTTTCCTCCTCCTCGGTGATCCACAAGGTAGGTACTTGGGCAGGTACAACAACTTGGTTTTCTTGCTTTGTGGCAGTTTTGATAGTTTTATCGACTCTGTGGAAAGATTCTTCAACCCGATTGCTGATAACCTCTGAACTTCATCACTTGATGTTTTCATGAGCAGCTCTGTGAATACTGAAGTGAAGTTGTGGGTTCTTGCTAGAAACAGTATTTGGGGTTCGTATAGTGTTGTTGTGAATCTGACTAGAATTCCCACTAGGCCTTCTAAGTATGCGCTTATGAACCTGCTTGATGTGACATCTCCTTGGATTTGACTGATTGCTTGCAGGATTGTAGGCACTGTGTTATTGTATAGAAGAGCTAGGTTTAGTGTCAGGTTGTCGTGGGGAAGTTGCGCTAGAAATTTTGCTGAAACTGCGTGCTTCTCGGAGATGAGGGTTGTTTCAGTTGGTTTATGGATAAGGTTCTCAGGCTGGCCTCTGGTTTTGCAGAGTCTTTCCGATAGTAGGTGGCCCATATGGGGTGAAAGAACAGTTAGTAGCTTGATTGCTGTGATGGAAAGTTTTTCGTGTGGGTTGTTGATGAGTTCAATGAGGGTGTAGCTTGCTTCAGTCTCTTTTACCATCGAGACAATGGCCGCTGCTGATCTGGGGATCTCGGCAATCAACAGAAGAATTCTGATAAGGTTGTTACTTAGTTCATCTGCGGTTGCGTTCTTGAGCATGTAGATGATGTTGCACACAACATAGTCGGAAGTCAAAGTGTGACCATGAGAATTAGCTGGGAGGTTCTCAAGCTCAAGCCCGGACTCAAATATGTTTGCAAGGATTGCAGCTGCTTCACTTGTTGAGTCCATTGGTTCGTTTTGAATTTTCCGAATGAACATCTCTTCAACCATGACTTGTATAATTCCAGCTTCTTGAAGTATTTTTCCATTTGGGTGGTACAATGAGAGTTGCCCCAGAGCATTGAATGCTGCCCTTCTGGCCATCGTATTTCCGTTATGTACCATTTCGATGAGAGCAGGAGAGGCCTTCTCAGCAACGTATGTTTTTTGGTCTTGCCCAACAACAATTTCCCCGAGGTAACTTGCCATCTCTATCTTTATCTCTTCACAACCTGATATTTCAATGTTTAAATCAAAACAAAGTTCTTTAGATTCTAGTAAAAAGTTCTTTAGTTATTTATGCTTGGCTGGATTGTGCAGTTCCAAAAATTACCTTCATTAAGATTCTTTAGGAGGGGTTCCATGAGTCCATTTTCTGCCATGTGTTTGATGTTATTTGGAAAATGCTCTAAATTACTCAAGATTTCTTCTGCTTTTTCCGAAGCAAAGACATCGGTATACCTTCTGTATTTAATTGTGACCAGCATAAAGATTGCTCCAGTAACTGATCCGATTTTCTCACATAATGATTGTGATCTTGAAAGCTCAAGTAAGAACAGCAATGATGCATGCCTTAGGGACTGGTGAGTACTAGAAAGCATTTTGATTGTTGTTGAAATATTTATCGTTTGCGCAATCTCTTCCTGCACAAGAAACCACTCTGTCAGAAGTTGGACCCAACAAGTGTTTGTTCTAGTCTTATTTAGTTGTTTCTCATGAAAAATTAAGAAATTAAAATTCGACCTTGCTGTTGTTATCATCTTCCGCCAGTTGCTGCAAAAGTTCCAGCGCTGCACATTTAACATCTTTGTCTTCGTACTCCAGGCACTGAACAAGCAAGGGCAATATTCCGACACTACGAACTTGTATCTTATTGTATGGGTTCCTTTGGCAGATACTGTGCACATCTTTTACTGCTTCAAGCACCATATGCTCTGAACTAGCCAAGGACAATGCTGCTCGGGCAACCTTAATCCTCTCTGCTTCGTTCCTGTCCTTCCACTCCGCTATTGTGGATTTTAGAGCTTTATTGGAATTCAAATCTTTACTTGCCAACTTCTGGCCAGTGGTTGGGCAGAAGATTTCTTCCGAGCAATTGAACTTCTCAAACCACTCAACAATTGCTTTCCTCTCGTATGTCACTCCGCTTCTTATGGTTACTGGGTCATCCATGATCTTCTTTGTCAGTGGGCAGAAAAAACTCTCATACAGAGGCTCCATGTATTCACCCACCTGTGGCAATGTCGTTATAGATCCACTCATGTTCGCATCATTTCTTTTGCTTACCCAGCTAGTGCTTTTAAGGATTTCAACCAGTTGAGGTGTATCCAAAACGTGAGGATTCTCTGTGGAAACCTCAAAATTTAGGGAGTAGAAATCCATTTCTGTCGCTGTCGGTTCTTCCTGTAGTTGCTCCTCCAGGGACCACACCTTTGTATTGAGCTCATTGATCTGAGACGCTTGAGTTCTAAGGCGAGCATTCTGCATCTCATTTGAAAGGGACCGAACTGCAACTTCTGCGTATTCTTGGTCTCCAAATGTAAATGGCGGTATCATGCTCAAGCATTCTCCTACGTTTTTAATGACCTCCTCCAGTTGTGCTATAATGAGCCTCAGTTCAGCATCTGAAAATGGTTGGACGCCAATTTGGCATCTCTCCACAAGATCTTTGGCCAAACAAACACTCTTGGATATCGACTGCAGAATTTCCATTGCATTTTCTGGGCAGTTTTCAGCCGTCTTCAACACCATAATCGCCATGGAAGCTCGATATAGGTAGCATGCAGTTTCGATAAAAAATTCCCATCCCACCTCTAGGCTTGATACCGATACTGCGATCTCTGAAATGGATGCCAATATGGTCTCTGCAAGATTCTCGATCGGATTTCCATCTTCCTTGAGCTGAAAAGAAGAACGAGACAGGTTAATTTGTACCGCTTGTGGTAGCCTTAACTGAAAAATGATTTGCAACTAAAGAAGTTAATGAAGGTTAATCACTTCAATTTTTTCATGCTATCTTATACTTAATCCTAGTCAGTAACATATCTGCTATGCTTTGCTGCTGATTAGTTTATGATGTGTACTAAAAAAATGAAATATCACGTTTCTATCGCGTTCTAGCACCTCGGAAAACTGGCTTGTGAATTTTTTTTTTCCCTGCAGACTCATAATTCTCAGACACATAAGAAGTGTAAAAGACTCTAAAAAAAAACGAGTTCATCAGAAGGCTCCTACCGACATCAAATTGAAGTTGCTCGGCAGAAGACTTTGGAAAGGCGAAACTTTCGATTACCAGTCACTGACAATCGCTTGAACGTTTCAGCAATCTCAGCGCAGAAAGTACTCATCGTTTACTTGGATTCTTAGGAGCAGGTGTGCACAAGACTTGGTCAGCTAGCAGTCACTTCTGGTTTGGTTAAAAAATTTCCTTCAGATGGACTAAAAAGCGGCTGGTATTGGTCAATTTTGCATCTGGTCTTCCAACATGATAGGGTTTCGATTGCGTTACGTTGTTATTATATGATTCTTTTGTTCTCCATTACGCGCTTCGGATTGCGTTGGCAAGTAGTTTCCTTACGTTTTATGACGAAGGCTTTGAATGGGTGATGATTCGCTCTAACAAGGTAGGGTTTTCTTCAGAACTTCAATATAGTATTCGAGCACTGTAGGTTATTTGACTTTCTTGCTGTGCAAGTTGTAACACTATATACGTAATCACGAAAATGTCAAAATTATCACTATCAGTGTATTATTCCGAAGTTATTTAGAATAATTATAAAATGTTATCACATAACTAAAATAACTAAAAACGCTTCTAAAAATGTTTAATATGAAAATTTAAATGATTTGGTTTTATAGTGGGACCAAGATTGTCAAAGGGTGTTCATACCAACACGCAAAATTGAAATCAATAATCTGTATATTATAATAAAGTAATGAAGTTGTCCCCAATCATTTCAACAGTATCATATGAAAGAGTCAGGTCAAGGTCATATGGAAGTGCCAGATATCAGACTCGTTCAAAAGAGCAAGCACCATCTCCTTGTATTCGTATAACTTCCAATCATCTGCCATACCAATGTATGTATCCATTTTAGTGTCTATCGTCTACACATTTGATTTAAGATAAGCTAATTTTATTGTCAATCGAAAATCGATAAATTTCAAACAGATGAGAATTGACCAATGCAACACTGAATCGAGTTCTTAACATGTACTTTTCTTTGTCTACCTAATTTCACACGCCTACAACAAATAAAATAGTTGAATGGTTTTAATATAACTACCAAGTTAAACCATTCAAAACCAAATCTCCTTTTTTGTACCCACTAAAAGTACACATATGAATATCAAACGAAAACCTCAAATTATCATAGCATTCCCTTTCTATCGTAATTTAAAAAAAAAAAAAGGAAACACAAATGGAAGAAAAAATTCAACAATTTTGTCTTGTAAATCATTACTACAGAGAGTAAAAAATGTTGGAAAATATTATTATTTAAATTTATTTTAATGTTTGGTATTTTGGACTTAGCCCTTTAGTATTAGTGTTTCATTTCCTTGCCTATTAGGGTTATATTAGTTTATATATATATATATGGTACTTTGTAACTCTATATAATTGTAAGTTATTTACAATGTAGCCTCTTAGGGTTTTATAGCCGTTTCGGCATTCTCGTTAATTTAATAATATTCTTATTATTTTGTAGTCTTGTTTCGTAGCGCACTCTGATATTCAACTAAAAACACTTCAATTATGGAAGGAGGGAAAATGGGTGCAAATAACCAGTGCTCAATAGAAATCACTGCCTAGTCATCAACTCTTTGTAAGCCAAGAATAGAAAAGTTTAGGATCTAGCATGATAGTTTCAGTTACTTGAGATTTTCCAATGTTCGTAATCATTTTGCTGCTTTATAAACTAATGTATTGGCAATGACATATAATGCATATAAAGCTACTAGGGCCAATTCAAATCAGTATGAGTGTTTACTTCATATCATCATTATTACAGTTGAAACTATCCTACTGTATGTACACATATACTACGATGCAAAGAGGGCTTGCATGATTGTGAATCGTTAAAGACCAAACTATCACGCTGCAAACGATAATATCTCTGATCAGCATTGAAGGGGGTTGATAATGCCAAAGTGGCTCCTTGAATATGTAACAAAGGTGATGTCCATCAAGCACTTGAAAAGGTGCACTATACTGCATAAACATGGGGAATGCAAAAAATAAGAATTATAAAACCTAAAGCCAATCAAACTCATGGATCTACCTTTATCTGAGCATCTTCCACCCAAATTTTATTACATCAGAACTATCATAGACATTCATTGAGTAATGAGTGACTACAAATCTGTCAATTTTGGATTAATGCCTTTCTTTTTCGTATAATGCACGGTAATGAGATTTTGAAATTTTAACAAACAACACCTCTATTCCTATTGAATTACCATTATGCAGCTGATGGCAAACAATCATATTATTTGAGTCACTGTGTTTTCAGTTTTAGTATAGATTAAATATAGCAGTGAAGACAATGGGTGTACAAAGAGAAACAATTTGATTAAATAAATAGAAAATTGTAGCAATAGTTCTTCAACTTTAACTCAATTAGAATAATGGTTTCTCAACAAAAAATATGTGATCACTGGTCCCTTAACTTGTCAATACGTACATATATGATCATTTTCGTTAACTCTGTCAAAACTTCCGTAAAAAATGAGTCACGTTTGTGGCACAAGAGGCTGAATGAAGGGGCAAATAAGCAAAACGAAAGTTTTGACGTAGTTAATGAAAATGACTATAGCTGCAAGTTTTGACGAGTTAAAGGACCAATAGTCATGAATTTTTAGTTGAGAAATCATTGCTATAATTTCCTCGTAAGTAAAAACAGGGCTTTCTTGGAAAAATATTAAATTGTTTTGGGTGTGAGAGAATGGTAAAAGAAGTGGGTGTCCAAAAGAAAAAATTTAAGAGTAAACAGAATTTCCCACCAAATTAGAACGAAGCCCACCACCGTATAAACAAATCAACCAATTGGGTCAGCCCAATTAGTTTTGAGTTGTAAAACGGGTCGACTCGGGAAAACTTCTAGCCGAAGCCGACGGTCCAACGGCTTTATCAAACGCAGAGAGAACGTAGGTTTAAGCAGGGTTTTAAAGGCGGCCACTCACCCAGTCACTCCTCCTTCCTCCCGCCACCCACCTCCTAGAGATCCCAGTTTTCCGGTTCATTTATATAACTTTTATTTTTATCACTAAATTTTGTATTTTTTTTTTAAGCTCCCAATTTTCTGCTACTCCGATAGTTGAAGATTTTTCATGTGATGTCCCGTAATCTTTCATCTCCTGCAACTTTGATTGATTAGTTTGCAGTATTCACTGGGAATTATGTGGAGAAACTTCGCCAAAAAGGTTGCTTCCAGAAAGGAAAATCTTTCCTCACAGTTTCATTTGGGTTCTGCTACTTCTTCTTCGGTGAAATTTTATCAAGAATCGAGCTTTCTCGAGAAAACCAGGCATTTCGAGGCCCGGAACTGCGCAAACAATAGGTTTTTGGTGATGGGTTTTCCACAAATTGGCGATAAAGCTTCCCAGAAGGACGAATTGGGTAGATGCAGTTTGATGAATCCGAGTTACTCTCATGCCGTTTCTGGGTTTTGTAGCTATGCCAGAGGCTATGCCAGTGCCGCCGAGGCCATTGCTTCGACGGATGGGGAGGAAGACTCGTCAGGGTCTGAAGAAATTCAGGAATTGTTGGAGGATTTGATCAGAGAGAACAACAAGGTGGAGTCCCATTTCAAGCAGACGAAGAAAGTGGTGGGTGGTATGGGAGTAGGGAAGTACAATCTCCTCCGGAAGAGGCAAATAAAGCTGGAGACCGAGGCGTGGGAGGAGGCGGCCAATGAGTACCAAGAGCTTTTAGTGGACATGTGTGAGCAGAAGCTTGCACCCAATTTGCCATACATTAAGTCATTGTTTCTTGGCTGGTTTGAGCCTTTACGAAACGCCATTGCAGAGGACCAAGAGGCCTGCAGACAACCGAACAGTCGAGCGAGTCATGCTCCGTATTTTGATCACTTACCGGCTGATAAGATGGCGGTTATCACAATGCACAAGTTGATGGGGCTGTTGATGACAAATAATGGCGGAGTAGGGAGTGTCAGGGTAGTCCAAGCTGCTTGTGCGATAGGTGAAGCCATTGAGAATGAGGTATGCGAGCTCACTATTTTCTTATTTGGTAAATTTTATAGCTGTGCTGAATTTGATTTTGGTTCCTAAGCTGCCGGTACTTTGAACATTCATTTTGGCTCAGATTTTAGTTAGTGATCAACTATCAGTTTGTTCGGTTTGGTAGAAACTTAAACTCCCTGTGTTCACACAAACGTGAACTTCGGTTTCTAGGAGTATATTTGTAATGTATAAAACTGAGTCCCTTGATGTCTCATGCCTTCATGACTAGTTGAAGGCTTTTCTCATGAGGTAGTAATGCTTCTTTCAGCATCCAGTGAAATAATGTTGACATTCCATTTTCCATTTATCGTTGGCTTTGAACATCTTAGGAGTTAAATATAGTAATCATGTGTATCAGGTTAGGATACACAGGTTTTTGGAGAAGACAAAGAAGAAGAAGAACCTTACTGATAAGAAGCCTGAAGATGAATCTGATCCTGTGGCCATTGAACAAGAGAAACTAACGATCAGCGAGCAAGAGAAATTGACCAAAGAAAAAGAGACTTAGGAAAAAGGTTAACAAACTGATAAAAAAGCAGAAAATGAAGCAAGTAAGGGAGATTGTGAAGGAACAAGAAGACTTGAAGCCATGGGGTCAGGAAGCCCATGTTAAGGTTTGTGATGCTTATAGATTTAAATATGCAAACTGTCTTGTTATTGTTGTTGCTATATTATCTTGGTCCTTGTACTTGCCAGGTTGGCTGTCGATTGATACAGTTGTTGATGGACACAGCTTATATACAACCTCCGGTTGATCAATCAGGAGATGCTTCACTCGATATACGCCCTGCATTTGTACATGTTCTTAAGACTGTCACTAAAGACACACAGTAAGAAATGTTGGATCTTTGTTTTACTTAAACCCTCTCTTTGTCTTGTGTCTATCTAGCTCTCCACCAGTGTCTATATTCTTATACTTCTGTGGGTTTCTTGTAATAGGAAGACTAGTAGGAGATATGGTATGATAGAATGCGACCCATTAGTTCACAAAGGCATGGAGAAAACTGTAAGTAGAACAAATTTAAAGCTGATTTGGCTCATGCTCATGATTCTAGTTTGCTTTTTTATCCGTTTTTGTTCTTGCAACTTACAAGAGTATTTTTACAAATGTATTTATACCTGAGTGAAACTCTACTGATTTCTGTTCTGTCCGAGCAGGCAAGGCACATGGTCATTCCTTATATGCCTATGTTGGTACCCCCTATCAACTGGACAGGGTATGTAGTGTTTAGATTAGTTGGACTTCGTAGTTTCAAATTAGCTAGATTAAGCACTTTGCGGGTTTTTAGCCGACTCTATTGCCTGTTCGTATACTTTGGCAGGTACGACAGAGGCGCATATTTATTCTTACCATCCTATGTTATGCGAACTCATGGAGCGAAACAACAACGTCAAGTTGTTAAAAGGACACCTAGGACGCAATTAGAACCTGTATTTGAGGTTTGAAATCCGCAGGAACTGTTACTTTTAGTTTGTGCACTGTATCTGCACCTGCCTTTAGAATTCATGCACAAGCTTTAATTCATCAGAAACATCCCTTAAATGTTTCCTCCAGTGTGAGGGTTCTCACTTGTACTTATTAGTTCTTCCCCTAATCTCTTGATTGTTCTCTGTATTTAGGCCCTGGATACTCTTGGAAGTACCAAATGGAGGGTGAACAAACGGGTACTTGGTGTAATAGATAGGATATGGGCTAACGGAGGCCATCTTGCTGACTTGGTTGACCGTGAAGATGTGGGTTACTCTTAACTGGATTTGGTTTTTCGTACGTCCATGTTTTGACTGAAACTATATAGCTTTGCTGCAATGTGGCATTAACATTTAATTCAGCATCTTGGTAGTTGGTACTACTGGTTTTATCAATAAATAATCTTCATTTTTCTTCCTGCTTTAAAAAGGTTCCATTGCCTGAAGAACCGGACACAGAGGATGAGACAGAAATCAAAAAATGGAAGTGGAAAGTTAAAGATGCAAAGAAGGAGAATAGTGAGAGACACTCACAGCGGTGTGATATAGAACTCAAACTTGCTGTAAGAATCATTCTCGTTAAGTTAAATAATGCAGTGCTCTTGGATACTCTGATATTAAGTAAGTTTCACTGAATGGGAACAGGTATCTCGAAAAATGAAGGATGAGGAAGGCTTCTACTACCCACACAACCTCGATTTTCGTGGTCGTGCTTACCCCATGCACCCATATCTAAACCATCTTGGTTCCGATATGTGCCGAGGCATCCTGGAGTTTTCAGAGGGACGGCGTCTTGGAAAGTCAGGCTTACGGTGGTTGAAGATACATTTGGCAAATTTATATGCTGGTGGTGTGGACAAACTCTCCTTTGATGGACGAGTAGCATTTACTGAGAATCATGTGGACGAAATTTTTGATTCGGCAGACAGATCTCTTGAAGGGAGGCGCTGGTGGTTGGGTGCGGAGGATCCTTTCCAATGCTTGGCAGCATGCATTAATCTCGCTGAAGCATTGAGAAGCCCCTCTCCAGAGACTACTGTTTCATATATGCCTGTCCACCAGGTAATTTTTCTCTCGGAATTTTAATATCATAAAAACTTACAAACAATATTTAGTGATTTGGTACAGATGGTTTTGTAACCAATATTGATCTCAGTTCTCTTTTTGCGTTGCAAGGATGGTTCATGTAATGGTTTACAACATTATGCTGCTCTTGGAAGGGACAAGGTAATGAGCCTTTTTAATTTTAAATGTTAAATAAGGTTCAATATTCTTTACAGAGCAATTATACTTTATACCTCAACTGCTTGTGTGAGTTCTTGTTTTGTTGATCAAACTGCTCATCTCTTTCTTTGTTTTTTTTAGCTCGGAGCTGCTGCTGTTAATCTTGTGGGGGGAGAAAAACCTGCAGATGTTTACTCAGGAATTGCTGCCAGGTAACTATTACTCTCTGAGATGAATTGGAGGCCAAACATACATTTTTTGGGTGTTGTTGCATTTTTAAAGATGAAAAACCTAGAGGAGTAAGCAACCTGATTCATTCCCTAAAAATATCTGTTCTCAGAAAAGGATTACAATTTGGTTATTTCCCTTGAAATTTACCACTGATAATTGATATCATTCTTATTAATTCGTCTCAGTGAAATTTTTGTGCCTATGCAGGGTACTCGATATAATGCGGAGCGATGCAGAAAAAGATCCTGCCACTAATCCAAATGCATTGCATGCTAGGCTTTTAGTCAATCAGGTTAATATCTTGCAAAAGTGGATCTGTGCGAACCTTTTCATTGGATAATGAAGCTGAAATAGTTTGCAAAAACGTTACAAATTTTGTAGAATTTTCCCAGTATTTATGACTTGGCAGCACAATAAGGTTGCAAACAAATTATTTGGCTTGCTTTGTAAAGAAAAGAATTTACTTGAGCTCTGCTCTTTGCTGCTGCTTAATATGATGTTTCTAATGTTTGGCTTTTGTGATGGGAAATTTTAGGTGGATCGTAAATTGGTGAAGCAGACAGTTATGACGTCTGTATATGGCGTTACTTATGTTGGTGCACGTGATCAAATTAAGAGGAGATTAAAAGAGCGTGGTAACATAGCTGATGACTCGGCGCTGTTTGCTGCAGCTTGCTATGCTGCAAGGGTAAGTGGATAAAACTATTGTGTTTCTGTGTCCAATGTGTCTGTGTAAGTCTATTGATTATTTTACTCTCTGAGCAGACCACCTTGACTGCACTAGGAGAGATGTTTGAAGCTGCAAGAAGTATTATGAGCTGGCTCGGTGAATGTGCAAAGGTCTGTTTCATCTACTTTGTTGTCTATTTGTTCTTCATAAGATGTGTGAATGGTGTAACTGTTAATTGCTTCAAAAGCTAAGCACTTGCACAAGGGATAGATGTGGATTCTATGTTTGATAATATCACGCCTTTAACTAAGTCCGTATTGTTCTCATACTAGTCCTGACAGCGATATTTGAACAAAAATAGGTGATAGCTTCGGAGAATCATCCAGTTCGGTGGACCACTCCCCTTGGACTTCCCGTTGTACAACCCTACCGACAATTAGGAAGGCATCTTGTAATATTCTTAACAACCTCTTACAACTTCCAATATGGCTATATATTTTACTTAATAACAAAAAGACTCAGAGTTATCATCTCTTCTAAAAATAAAAATAAAGACTCAAAAGAGTTGTTCGTTTTAAGGCAAGCATGTAAATAAGGTGCTGCTTTGAAAATGCAGATTAAGACTTCCCTTCAGGTGTTGACGTTACAAAGAGAAACTGACAAGGTCATGGTTAAACGGCAGAGGACAGCCTTTCCCCCAAATTTTGTTCACTCCCTTGACGGTTCCCACATGATGATGACTGCTGTTGCCTGCAAGAAAGCAGGCTTAAATTTTGCAGGTTTCTACTGGATTTTTATTTCCTATTGTCTTTTGCTCTCTTGTATAGGGTAGTACATTTACATGTGCTGCTAATGATTGCAGGAGTGCATGATTCATATTGGACGCATGCATGTGATGTTGACGAAATGAATAGGATACTAAGGGAGAAGTTTGTTGAACTCTACGAGGCACCTATACTGGAGAATGTGAGTATCTTTGATGATGCCGATATTTGTTTGCCTGGTGAAAATACGTAAAAATACACATCGTTGGCGTTTTCTGACTGGATTCCCATGTTCTGTTGCCTATTTAATTTGTTACTTCTATGTCTACAGTTGTTGGAGAGTTTTCAAGAGTCTTTCCCCAACTTGACTTTTCCGCCATTACCGGATCGTGGAGACTTCGATCTCAGAGATGTTCTCGAATCTCCCTATTTCTTCAACTAGTCTGATCGAGATGATTGTTAGGCGGAGGTGCCCTTCTTGGTTGCTTGAGTTCCCCAATTCATTCAATCACAAGGTGATGAAATTTTATTTATTTTCTCTCATTCAAGGGCGTGAGATGGTCAAGGAGAGCGAGCTCCGATGAGAACAAAAAAAAAAAAAAAAAACTTCATGTTCGGCTGCTGCTATCAATTTGCTGCCCGTACGTGTACATATGTCGAGAAAGGCTATCTTCACCAATTAGTTGGAGATATCCCACCGGGCTTGGCCGTCTTCTGCATCCACTGTTTTGAAAGGATTGGGGAAATATGATGGTCACCAAGCAGCATTCGAGAAAATTAAGACATCCCCATGGAAGTAAAGGTCGTACCCAGTGCACAAGGCTCCTGCTTTATGCAGGGTCTGGGAGAGGTGAATGTCGGCTAGCCTTATCCCCATGAAAGTACATCAAAGAAAAATTAAATCACCAAAAGTTGATAGGAAAACAACGATAGACGAACATTGTGGACGTCACTTGTGTTTGTAAATTTTTGTTTCGTTACGATTCATTTCAACAGGAAATGTAAAATAAGTTCATGTAATGATTGTTGATTCTTGCTCGCTGAATTTTGAAGCAGAATTCATATGATTTTATTTGAAATTTACACAGGAAATTACATAGGTTGTACTGGATATACAAATACTGTTTTGTTTTTGTTTGAGATCTTCAACATTATGCATTAAAGCAACGTAAGTTCAAAGCAGAGCGACGGGCTGGCGACTCATTTCTTATCACACCGATATTGTCCCTTAATTTTCATTTTTATCACAGACGATATAGAATTCGCTCTGTTTTACATATATATATCTCCCCGGAAAACTTGAGTGTTTACTGGTGTTTTCAAATGACAATGCTCTACAGGTATAGTATAGGATATTCATCTAACAATAGCCTCTGAACAATATAAAACCATGCATTAATGGACACCTTCTGTTTGAAAAGGGCAGTAGCATCGATGTATATCTCTATCAAATTCGAAAACACAGCAAGAGCGATCATGAAAACAGATAAGATCTTGTCCTTCATCGTTGCTATGCCATCCCTGAATCACAGAATTTTGATATCGAATGTACATTAGTTTGCACGCACGCACACGTGCTTGCTGAACTTGAAAATGAAAACAATTGAATGTCACATAACTCACCTTAGAGCAATGGCAGCAGGAAAGATGAATCCAATGCAGACTGTAGCGGTCGCTCCAGAGAACTGGAAAACATCACAGATGCTGGGAATAAAATTTGCGCCCAAGAAGACGAGAGAAATTAGTCCGATGGTGCTTAATGTAATCCTACAAAAATGGGAAACCAGAGGCCTAGACGAAGGAGAGAGGAGGTCATTCAAGTTGAGTCGCAGTGGATGGAAAATACCGGGAAAAACAAGCATGAGGTGGAGGGCATAGCTGATGCGAACGATATCACTGAGCAAAAAGCTGTAAGGGATACCAAGGCTGGTGTCGAAATTGGCTAGCACGTCATCAAGGGTTTGAAAGATAATAGAACAAAGCCAACAAAGTCACTAACCGTGCCTTGTAACCCTCTATTTAAACATCAAAACGGCGCTTGATTTTGTAAACCCATTTGTTGGGAAGAATATTCATATTGGGTTGTAACAGCACCAAAGACCACGTGCCATTCCTTTGAAGAGCATTGAACTCGTCAGCCATTGCTGTGCGCCATTCTGAAACCTTATTAGCCTGACTAAAACATGTAGGCTCAACGAAGTCGTGATCAACAGTAGTAGCAAAAGCATATTTCGGATTAGATCTACTGGCTCGAGTAACCATTGAATGAGTCGAAGGTACTTACCTCGAGAGCAGATGGAGCCCATGGATTCCAACATGTCGAACTTACCAGTTCGCCATCAAAATCATCTGAGATAAATACCCGCTTCACACACAAACGTATATTCTTTGTTTTTGGATTTACAACATCCTCATTGTTAAGAGGCCCCATTCCAGGAATATAAAGAACACTCCTGAACTCCACCTCATCCTGCGCAGATTTCAGAGTCAAGTTAAACTCCAAAACCGATATATTTTCTACTTCAACCAAATTAGAATAAGACAGCGGAGGGGGAGTCATTTCAGTACCTCAGTGGTGAAGTGAGTGTATCCAAGTGGATCCAGGAACTCATTAAAAGTTTTCTTGTAAAATTCTTGATACTCCTCTTTTTGAACTTCCTTTGCACACCGCATCTGCAGAAAAACGAAACAATTTTCTTTTTTTAAGAGAGGATATAACAGGAAAATATATGCACATTAAACAAATAGATCGCACTGAAGCTAAATACATATACCATGACATTAATACATTACAGCTTTAACGCATGGTACTCACCCATATAGGCTTTGTTTCATTGGCTAATTCCCAATCCCAATACTTCTCAGTTTTTGTCTTCTTTTTCTTCTCACCCTGGTAACAAGCATGAACAACATTTCACAGAATTACGAATCCTATGTAGAAGTTACCTCTGGTTTTGGTTCTCCTCCTTCTTTTGGTTCTTCCTCCTCTTCCACCTGCCAAAGTTCCCACACAATGAGGACTGGTAAAAGTGATAACTGCTTCATCATTATTAGAACAGATACTTTTAAGCTTAGAACCATAAGCTTTAGAATAGCATATAGACAGAAGACTACTTATTCAGATAGTAACATTATGGTAACGATATTTTCTGGTTACCACTTCGCGTGCACCTTAGACTGGTAAAAGTAACAGTGCAACCATTAAGGAAAAGACCAATCACATGAAGAAATTGAATTCTATCAATCCCTCCAAAACCAGCCATCTAGAGGGAAAATGGTTTGTAAAAGCAGAAAATGAAATCCTCACCTCCACTGTCCTTGATTTTTCTTGCCATGTATAGATGGGAAAGGAAACAAACTGTGAGTAATTCTTCACTAAACCCTCGATCCGGGCTGGCTCTGAGAATTCATACTTGTCATCCGGCTGCAAGGAGAAATTTGAAATAAAGATAGCTCTCCAAATTTATTTAACTTCTCAAAAAGAAATCAGAATATAAGTAACTAGCAAGTAGCAAATAATAATGACTATAATCTGTCAACACCAGCAATAGCTACAATAACTTCAATGACCAGAAAAATGAGGAGAGTCCCATGCAAACAAACAAATGCCATGAAATGATAAATAAAGTGAAGGGTAAGTGGTACCTACCCTTAAATAGAGGGTTATCTGTGTTCCCCGCTGTATGAGATTTTCCGGATTAGTTTCTTCCTTAATAACATAAGAGCTACTGTCAGCTGCTGCTTCCCAAACATACTGCTTATCTGACCTTGGGCTTTTTGTAGAGACAACAACCTGATTTTACATAATATATACAAGAAAATTAGCAACACAGCAGCCCATATTAAAAGCGTAGCTACAAGCAGAGAGCTGAAACAAGGTATAAAATAAGTGTTAAATCATAATGCACCTTCTCAGCAACAAGAAAAGCAGAATAGAAACCAACACCAAATTGACCAATCAAGCCATTGTCTGCACCAAGATCCTTGTTTTCCTACAAAAATACAAGGCTGAAAAACTAAGATTCAAAAAGATCAAAGAACTCAAAAATGTTCACATAGAAATAAAAAGATGAAAATTACTGCATTCAAGAGAGAGAGAGAGAGAAACCTTCAGAGCCTTCAAAAACTTTGAAGTACCACTCTGGGCAATGGTTCCAAGGCAGTCAATGAGTTCCTCTTTTGTAATTCCAATACCAGTATCCCTAAAAGTCGGAGAATCAGATTTCAATAACTCAACTAATCCATCCAGGGACAGAAATGAAGCAAAGATTTAGAAACAACATACAATATAGTGATAGTCCCATTGTCTGGATCAGGTTTGATGCGAATCTGTAGCTCAGCAGCATCTCCAAGCAGAGAGAGGGCTCTGTCACACTCAAAAATCTCAACTTGTCCAAAACATCACTAGCATTACTGGAACAGGAAAACAAAATAGGGTCAACAAATTCGTCAAATAAACATGTACATATAAAACAAATCATAACGAGCATATTACTCAATCAAATCAAATCCTAATCTAATTTTTCTGCTATCGAAAAGTTCAAAGAACAAACTAGTGAGCAAAGTATACAAGAAGAACGAGCATACCCTATAGGCCATGAGTCACCAAAAGAAGTTTGATTGAAGTTTAGGGAAATGCAAGCTCACCTCACAAGCTCCCTAAGGAACACCTCCGTGTCGCTGTATAGACTATGAACTATCAAATCCATAAGCCGAGATACCTGCAAATAATTTCAAACTCTTCAACTTTCAATTCCAAAACTCATACACCAAAAACCGAAACCTCGCCATAACGAATATGGAAACAATAAGCAATCATTATACTCATTTTCTGTCGAAAGCAATGCCAAATACCCATAATTTAAAGCACAGGAATCCGTTTTCATCGTGAATAAACAGAAAAATACATAAAATTCTACAAAAATTGGAAATTGCAGAGCTCAATGGCGAAACAACACAAAAAGACCGAAAATTTATAGAAACAAAGAGAAACCCACCTCGGCCTGGTACTCAAATTTCTCACCGGGGGCATCGGTGGCCTCCTCCTTCTCGGCAACCGCCGCGCCGCAGCGGAAGGACACTCGTCTGTTCCTGCTCTCAACCTTCCACTTCAATCCGATGCAAGAGAAGGCCTTTCGGAGTCCATTCTGCGGCAAAAAAGCGCTTCTGAGAATCTGAGGTTCAAGGCCCTGCTGGGGTTTCTGAGTGCGAAGGGAGACGAAGAAGGAAGCGAAGCCAGAGAAGCAGTGGCCAAGCTTCTGCTCATAACTGGAGCCATTGAACCCTAAACCTCACGGAAGTAGTTGGGTTGGGGGTGGGGTCGATAATTCCGTTGTGCCAAACACTGTCTTCAAGTGGCAAAACCCTTTTGTGAGTTGCGAGGGTTTATCAGGTCTTAAGTAGGGAGAGTGGAGTGTTCTAGAAAGTACAACACTTTGGAGGTTTTACTTTTACGTTTTGTTTGGACTCCGAGTTTTCTTCTGTGGAGTTTGTGAGGCCTAGATATTATCCGCCATTTCACCTTCAACTTTATCTTCTGCATTTTCCATTTTTCTTTCACTTTGAAAAAGGGCTCGATGGTGATTTCGCCACGGCAGTCCATTCTTCTAGAGACGGAAAATACTCACAGAGCTATTTCAACCTTCTTTAGCCGTCATCATGCAATTCACCAGCGCTAGGTCAAAATTCCAATGTCGAATCCCAATATAAGACCAGAGTTTACCAAGTAAAACCTTTTCAAGGACCACTAATTTCTATAGCATGACCAAAATCCAAAAATAGTCGCCAATCGGCCTTGTCTTGTATACGTACTTGCAATTTTGTTCTTTTGATACAAGTAATTTTAGGGAAGAGGAGAATCAAACGGGAATGCGGAAGTGAATATTTTTAATAAATTGAGCTATTAGTCGCTTGTTTGATTGTATTAGCAATTAAATACCAATTTAAGTTAAAGAGCTGAGAAGTAAAAACTCTATGGTCTAATTAATTTTTGGTCAGACAATGACCACAAAGTTCAATGCTTATCATTATATGCTTTGCTTCTACTGTCTTGTGGCAACTCTCCCCCACCTTTTGTCAACTCAACTCTTTCAACCAAGACAATCTGAAACATAGCTACAAGTGAAGTGACATAACGATTCCAACATGGTCAATGTATAATTTAACTTCTGCAGTTAAAACATTCAACGTTTCAGAAGAAAACAAATCACAAGAGACAAGGATAGTCTCGAGGGTCAAACGTTTGGTGCTTAGGATCGGATTGGATTAGAAAGATAAACCCCACGAGGAGCGGCGCTTCAATTAGCTGTTGCAAGTTCCCTTGAGCCAAACATCCCATCAACCAAACATGTAGCATTCTATAAACTAGTTGCAATCCGAAGGATGAGAGCACTCAAGCCTCCAAAGCCGCCTGCTTCAGACAATCAACGTTACACAATCCAACTGACCTCACCATATCTCCCAATCTACCACCATGGATTTCAATAGTCAGCATTAACAAAAACTGTAAACGAAATGGAAAAGAAAACATAGATTCATCGATAATCAACTCACCGGTCGAAGCTATTTCTAGCTCTCTCCGACTGATCTGTGCTGCTCCTCAACTTTCCAGACCGATCGGTGCTCTTTCTTGACTTTTCTCTCTTTTCAGTGCTTGTACTTGATCTCTCTCTACTGTCTGTGCTTAGCCTAGACTTGTCTCGCTTCCCGGTGCTGGACCTAGACTTGTCCCTTAAGTCAGTGCTTGATCTTGCCTTGTCCCTGATGTCTTCAATCTTCAGAGGAGACTCTGATTGGTCTGCACTTTTTCTGTTGAATTTCGAAGACGGGGTAATTTCTCTATGGCAGATATGAACTTCCTGAGATGCCTCAAGTATTCCGGATAGAGTTCCAAGTTACAATGGTTGCCTCCTTTGAGCCACAAAGGT